CGCACCCATTGCAGTTTCAGGAACTGTATAATCAGCAGAGACACCACAAAAAATACCAGCACTCCACTCACTGTTACCATTTCCCTCCTGATTTACACGGCAACGTTGTCTCTGGACAGCTGCTCTGTAGACAGAGGATAGACCCACTTTATCTTGCTTTGCTGGTTCCTCCCTAAGAAGAGAAAAAGATGTTGAAATTTCTGTGCCTCTCCATCTTTCCCTCTTTATCACTTTAATTCTCCACCCCAGAGAATTAATTGTTCTTATTTTTAAGCGTATATGTCATCACTCCTTCACATTGCACCTATAAATCTGTCAATCGTTGTTTCTTCAAGGGATGCAAAATGTAGGTTTATTGTTTACCTCCTTGTGCCATGACAGCTGCTGTGACAAAAATCTTTGCCCACAATTCTAGTTTCATAAAAAAACTCTTGCAAGAACAGAGAAATAAAAAAAATTTCCCAAGAGTTTTCACACCCAAGGATGGTGGGGTTAATGAAAGTTCAGGCTGATCAGTAGCCATCACGTGCACCAACCACATGCACTGCCCCTTCACTTGCCCCATATTATTGTTTGACTCTGATGTTCTCTGCTACTCCTTTAATATTTTGGTTTTCCTCACGGTTTGTATTTGTATAGTAAGGTCTTTGGCCAAACCTTTTAATTTTGTGCCTGGGGCACATAAAATGTTAAGTACTCAAATTAATCATTGGGTAACAGGAGTTTGATGATTATAATGGCATAACACCCAGGTGTCCACAGACTCCCTGTTCAGCTGCACGGGTAAGTGGGGCTGCATGGTCTTCATGACGAAGCAGAAAGCATAATTTCTCCCTCCTCCTCCAGCTGCCTCTCTGCTAATCCCACTGAATTGCTTGCAGCAGGAGTAAAGATGATGCACAGCTGCCTCTGTGAGCTTCTTTCACAAGCACTCTCATGCACCTGAGCAAATCCAGCTCTGCAAAGTGGGGCATTTCAGACAATACAGCTTTGGCGCTTGCGCAGGAACAGCACTAGCTTAGACTCGGCTCATCTGAATTAGACAGGAGCGTGTGGCGTTCTGGGAAGTCACCTAAGACGGTCTTGCTGCTCACATGCCAAACTTATGGAGCTGGCACAGCTAAAACCAAAAGTTGTGAGGTGTGAAGCAAGTTGATTTACCCTAGAAGTGAGGCAGAGAGATAACCTTTGCCCAGTGTTGCTGGCCAGCAGTTGAACTGAGAGCTGGGATCAAACTGAGGAACTGAATTGTCTACTTCAGAGACCACTTGTATGACTTGTAGTTCCTTCACTGGTGTTGTGCTTTCTATATCTCAAACTGCTCCCAATTCTGAATTCAGTATTTTCCAAAGTCTCCTTGAGAGGACACTCACAGCCCCCGAGGCTTGCCTGCCCTGTGCACTTGCACTCCCATCTGGCCCCTGAACAGTCCTGGCTGGCTACTCTGCACCTCCCCTGGCTCTCCAGACTTACTCTGACTTTTCCACACAAATTAGCCACATTCTGGTGATTGTACCTCGCAGCCTCGATGTGAATTGCTTGCATTTAGAAAGGCAGCTGCCAAACAGCTTTGCCAAGTCTTTGGAAGAGACATTAAAGGGAATACAAATTGCTTTCCTCCTCATACAAGATGGTGTTGGGGGACCAGGAAAAGGGAAACCTGGTAAGATAAGATCAATTCAATTCTCACCTTCCACGAGAATTGAATCCTTGGGTAGGCAGGGGTTAGAGCTCAGCAGAACAGAAAGGTATCCCTCTAACCAGTGAATCCTCCTGCTTTCCCTTTCCCCAGGAGAGCTCCTGGCCTGTTCTCTTCTCTTTGTGCCTTTCAGCTCTCGGAGGAAGATCCATTCGCCCTCTGCTTAGACTTTGGAACTGAAACATGCCATGGCCTGTGCCTTACTAGCCTCATGGCAGCTTGTCTGCACCCCATTACTTACACTCTATGCCCCAAATTCAGTTTCAGGAATAATCCCCACCTCCCACTCACAAAGCTCATGGCCAGGAAAGTACTGGATGCAGCTACTCAGAGAGGGAGCTCACCTTCCCACGTTAATAACAGGGTTTCAGGACATGTTCCCTGCCTCACCTGCCTGCTGCCCTACCCTGAGGGGTGATGATAGGAAAGCACATCTTTTTAGATACTGTCTGACAGGGATAGATATCAACAGCTAGAGAGAAATCATATGAGGAGTGGCTGAGGGAGCTGGGGGTGTTTAGCCTGGAGAAAACGAGGCTCAGGGGAGAACTTATCACTCTCTACAACTGCCTGAAAGGAAGCTGTAGCCAGGTGGGTGTCAGCTTCTTCTCCCAGACAACAAAAGATGGGACAGGAGGACATAGCCTCAAGCTGTGCCAGAGGTGGTTCAGGTTGGACATCAGGAAGAATTTCTTCGTGGAAATGGTTGTGAGGCATTGGAATGGGTTACCCAGAGAAGCGGTGGAGTCAGCATCCCTGCAGGTGTTCAAGAAACGACTGGAGGTGGCACTTATTGCCATGGTCTAGTTGACAGGGTTTTATTCATTCAGAGGTTGCACTCAATGATCTCAGAGGTCTTTTCCAACCTAAATGATTCTGTGAAATGAGGCAGCAGAAGCATGTAAACAAAACCTGACTCTTGAAGAGGGAAAACCTGGGGGTTTTGGAAAAAATTCACAATGGAGATACCATTCCTTTATAAAAATGTATAAAGGACTTCTATCTCCACTGGGGTCTTTCTTAAGATACTTCAGGTGAAAAAAGATTTAAAGCAATGTGGATCCCATTTGTCTATTCCTAAACCTTTCCTCCTATTCAGTCTCTCATTTGTCCTATACTCTGAGATGCCTGAGACTTGGGTGTCAACACAGCAGGCACCAGTTACCCAGTTGCTTCATGCAACCCACCCTCCACTCCTGACAGAGTCTACATCAACACCACACAGTGCAGCACCACACAGAGCTAGAAATGGATTAGAGAGCAGGAGAGCCACATCAGCTTGATGTGCTTGGCGAACTGAGCTAACACATCTCTTTTGCCAAGCAATGAGTAGCTGCAGCAGCAGCAGGCTTCAGATCAATGGGAGTCATGATAAAAGCACCTAGGCCCCTACCCAGAAGCCTGAGAAAAGAGTACTAACACTTAGGATACTGTCCTCCTTCACAAAAATGAAACACATCTTTTAAACCAATAATATTATATTAAGGAAAGTCTGACATGGTGGATAAACAGGGCAATGACAACCAATTCTTGAAGCATAATTGCAATAACAGTTGTGAAGCCTTCTCCTCAAGAAAAGAAATGGATAAAGCAACAGTGCATGTGCTACACCTACTAGCAGTCCTCACTCTGATCCTGAATTTTAAATCTTGCTGGGTAACAAAGCCAACCTCACAGTGAGAGTGGCTTCTGGCACTTGCTGCCACTAGTCCTGCTTGGGCACTGCTCCTCCCAGCATGCACTCAAACTCAGCAGCTCTGCTGACAGGCTCCTGTCAGAAGGCTGTTTGTGTGCAGCTGCCCCGTGCTCACACAGAACTCCCATAAACTTTGATTCACACACAGCTTTTGGGAAACACCACTTCAATGTCTCCTACCCTGCTCCTCCTTTGCAGGTACCAAGCTTTGCTCCACAGGACTGCAAGCTGTCCCCTTAACTGTGCATTTGAGCATCTGTCATGTGAAAAGTGGGAGTTTAGATTTTTGTTTCTCAGTCCCTTAGGAAAGTGGAGACCCTGATGTCAGACAGTCTGTCAGCATCTCATAATGAGACCCTTCACTGAGAGATTCACAAGATCAGAGGTTACCTGATCTCCCTTGTTAGGGGGAACTCAGCAGAGCCAAGGCCCCTCAGCGGGTCCTGCAACTGGTGTTATCCACTGCCAGCAACTGCAAGGACTCACTTTAACAGTTTATAGAATAACACTTTTTTTTAATACAAATTGTGACAGATTAATAAGGTTTGAAGGTTGTCGGTGATAGTTGTCTACTGCAAAAATATGTTTTAAACCAATCTACTGATACATATATTAAGTAAGCACAAGTTCTGATACGAAACAATCTACTAATATGCTATGGGGTAAGCACAAACAAAAGCTCTAGTTCTAAAAGCAGCATTTAATGCATGTAGAGTATATTTCTCACCCCAGGTGTCCCTCTGGTGGGGGAGAAGAGGGACTCAGCCTGTTGACTGATCTCAGCAGTTTTGGTGGAAGTCTTATCCCACTTTCCCCCTATCCCCAACTTACTTTTATTCTATTTTCTTTATGTTTGGGTGGAATTTGAGTGGCTCTAGTCATAAATACCTTTTATTTCTGATTGGTGTACCTAACTGGGGGGGGGGGGGGAAATGGTCGTGCTGTGGCACCTGAGGAGGGGGTTTGACATGGTTGTTGTCTTCATCAGCAGAACATCTTGATTCTCCCTTACCAGACAGGTACTGCATGGTCTCAGTACCACAATGCTCTCCCATTTGGCTGGGATTAGAATGGAGGGGGCCACGCAGTCTCCACGTTGTTCCACACTCTGTTCTGTTTCTCTGAGTAGATGTTTATCACTGTGCTGGGGAGCACGTTGGCTTCAGTCCATCCAGGGAGCTGCAGCTCCTTTTTACTGTAAAATTCTGAATCCCCTCCAGGTTTAACCCTATCCATCTTCCCACAGCATCCATAAAGAGACATGGCCAACTCAGTTTGTTGTACATCATGGTCATTACAAACCCCACAGGGTGAGAGGCTCCCTCTTTCATGGGATTTTCAGGCCAGCTCACTGCTCCATTACCACTTACACCCACTGTGTTTCCCCAGCAGTGGGGTTCCCCTCTGCAATTCTCCAGTAGGGAACAGGAGTTTACCTTTGCTTTCAGCACAAGTCAGGAGCCTCACACCCAAACGAAGGGCTCTGCTGTTGTACCTCTGTTGCTTTCAGTTTCAAGTAATCATTTCCCCATGACTCTCAGCTAAACAGACAAAGCAGCTGCCTCACAGCCAGTTGAGATTCCCCTCCACTACTCTCTATTCCCATGCAACCATACCTAGGGGCTCTGGCAATGCCCAGAGCCACCACCTCTGGGAACAGCATTCCCATACACCAGGATTTGAGAACATGTGGGAAGCCCCCTCAGCATCTGGCTTTAAAGTTCCTTCGCCCTCCAGGAAGATTCCTGACGAATTTTTGTAAGACTAGACAATTGTCTATGTTTATTTCATTGGTAACACAACAGGGAAAGAAAAAGAAGTACAGACATTTTCCAGAAGCAGGGAAAAGCAGAGAATTTTTCAAGGCTGGCTTCTTAGCCCTATAACACAGCAAGGACAGATTCACACTGAACTTGATGTAAAAATGAAAGCCATAAAAGTGGCACAAATATCAGCAAACCTGTGGCCACGCCTCTTTCTTAAATCTCTAACACCTCACAGCCTAGCGCGGAACTGCACAGAGCTTGTATGGATGGGGTTTCATGGTGCTCCCAAAGATAAAGTCTGTGTTGACTTCCTTAACTCCTTCTGGTGTAGTGAACTTGAATGTCTGCAACAGCCTGCAGAAGATGATGAAAAGCTCCATCTTGGCCAGCACCTCTCCCGGACAAGCACGGTGGCCTGCAGAGGGCGAAGGGAAAGAGAAATCAGTCCCCAGCGAGGTCTGTAACCAGAACCTGCTTCCCAGCTTTTCACAGGAGCATTGCTCAGCCTCATCAAGGAACAAAGAGCTTTGCTGAATTTGATGTTTTCCTCTCAGATTGAACTGGGCAAACAATTGAGATGTCTGCAATCCATCTTTGCAGGACCTGCTTGGATTACAGAAAAAGATACCAAGGTTGCTTCTCAGAAGTTTCTTCGGCCTTTTTAGCCACCAGTGCACTTGTAACAAACGTGGGTAGAGCCCTTTCCAAATCTTCGTTCGCAAAGCCTAGCCATGAACCTATAGGACTCTCCAGTTCTATGAATGGACTCTCAGTCTCTTGATTCCAAATAAGAAAAACAAGAAAGTATCTTTAGGTTTTCTCAAGCTTCCACTTAGAACAGGCTTATAACAGTGAAAAATCAGAATACAGAAGACATTCTACATCTGATGAAACATTTTCCCACATAATGCTTTCAGTGAAAACAACTTGTTACAGAAAAATCTCTTCCCAATTTATTAATTAACTCTGTGCAGGATATAATTCCTAGAGACAGACAGTGACAAACTTTGAAATGTAGTGGTTAGCTCATTCGACTTGGATGTGAGAAACTAATGTTCAAATTCCTCTTCTGCCCAATTTAGGCCAGAAACCTGAGCCTGACGTTTTCAACATCTCTGTTGAGGGCTCTGACAACCAGGCTATTCCCTCCTGGCATGATACTCAAGAGCTTTTGTTTGTTAAGGCTTCTATAAACTCCCACACTGGTGAAAGAGTGACTCCAGAAGCTCCACAAGAAAGACATAGCCAGCTGGGATGTATTTGATCCAGCTTCTGGATCTTCTATTCATCTTTCTGCACTCATGAATATGGAATTATTTATACAAAATAAATCAGCTCCAGCACAGCAGCCTGCCACAGAACAGCCACTGTAAGAGCATAATCTGGCATATGCAGAGGATGACCAGGGACAACAGCGTAAGGACTCAAGTCCACAAATGATTGGGAATTCTAGGGCCTTACTCCTTTTACTTTCTCTGCATTTTCACAAAAATCTAAGAGCAAGTTTTTATACAGTTACCAAGCAACTTTTTTTGGCAGTCAGTCATTTTTCTGGCCTGGGAAAACCATGTGCTTCTGTACTTTGGGATTATACTCCCCTTTGGCCTTCTCCACAGTCAAAATTACACAGCTTCACCTAACCCACACAAGAGGGCTCAGTTCTCAGTGCACCTACCTGCTGAGAAGGCTAAGAAGGCCTCTCGGGTCACAAAATTTCCATCCTTGTCCAAGAAATGACCAGGGTTGAACTGGTGAGGAGTCTCCCAGTAGTCAGGGTCAAAAAGAGTAGAGTCTATGTTTGCTGTAATTAGAGTGCCCTGAAAGGAAGATGTTGTTGGTGCAGTTATGACTCTCAGACATTAAGAAGAAAAGGACACAAACAGATCCCAGCTATAATTCTGCACATGGGGAGGTCGCAGAAATGAAAGATTATTTTATTAGGAAAAAGAAAATGAATCTCAAACAGTTCTGAGGGGTTTTTCTCAAAAAACAAATAAGCAAAGAAACTTCACTACTTCAGGTTCAGGGATTTCCCTGCTGTATTCTTTCTTGTGCCTTTATTTCCAATCTGTTAGGTGGTAGTTCAGAAGAAGTTGGTTGTGGGAAAACATCTTCATTATATTTCAAATATGATGTCAGAGAGGTGATAATAAGAAAAAGAAGTACTAGGTAAATGCAGTAAATGCTTAGTGTTGTCTCAGACATCACCAATGAAGAAAACATCCCATCTCTCAGTTGTCCACATGGCAGACAATATCCTGGCATTAATAGTCTGCAGCACCTTCCCTATGGACACCACTGTCCATTTTGGGCAGTCTTCTCTGTGGTCTTGTGGAAGTGTAAGAGCTCAAATGCTTATAAAGTATTTAAAATCACACCCTCTTGGAAAGTACACCATCAGCACTCTCACAGAACACTAGTTTAGTTGGGGTGAAATTGGGCTTTTGGCAAGCACTGTCAGTCATTTATGAGAAAAGTCACAGGCCAGAGGGCATGGCAGGGGAGAAGTGCTGTCTGCCAGTGCCATCACCAACACTCATCCATCCTGAACTGGAGGGAAAAGGGCTTAGTGGTAAACACAACTGCAAGGACCTTAACTCACGGCCAAAGATCACACTGGAACACAAAGGATATCTGTACCTTTGGAAGCCGATACCCCAAAACAGTTGTATCCTTCACTGCTTCTCTAGGAATCGTGATTAAAACAATGCTACTGAAGCGTAAGATCTCATGAACCACAGCATTTGTATACGGCAGCTTCTTCCGATCCTCATAGCAGACGAGATGGGAGGGACTCAGAACAGCATCCAACTCCTTCTGAACTTTTTCTGAAAAAAATAGAAATCCATTATAGATATAAGAACACTGTTTAGCATGAAACAGCACTTTCATTTCCTTTTTGGATTATAGTACTGATAGAAAAAACTACAATATATAAATAATTTATACTTACGGTATGTTAAACTCTAAATACATTTTTATATCTATACAGTTATGATTTTACTACACTCTATTTCCTAGTTGATAGGTTCTGTGTTCAGACCCAACAGATTTATTGAGCTTTATATTTAAAGGAAGAGGAGCCAACTTTAACTGAAACAAAAACTTCTTATGAAGAGATCAATTCAGTTAAGCTATTATTTTTACTCTAGGTAAATACAGACTCACAGCACACTAATGAGGGTGTTGCAAGGAAGCCATCACAACAAACTGATGTAATGCTGAGAACTGAAACAGGAAAATATTACTACACCATCACCAACTGTTAATCTCTTTGGGCTGTTATCTCAGCTTCAGTAACTAACACAGTTTATACAGTCTTAGAGGGCTTAAGGTCAGATTTCATACTTAAAACCTAAACTAGTAAGCTCAGAGAGTTTTTTTATTTTATCAGCATTTGAAAGGTATATGTGTGCACAGGGTTCTGTTTTTCCAGCATTCTAGCATCAAAAGAATGAAAAAAATATGCTTACAGTACTGAAACAGTCTGACAAAAATCAGCAAGACAAAATTCACTGTCAGAAGCTGAACATCCCTGAAATTATTTTAAAATATCTCTCTGAAATTTTTTTGCAACACTGGCTTATTAAAAACAAACCTCAAGAATATAATCTTAAAAAAAAAAAAAAAAAGGAAAACTTGATTTTAAGAAAAACTTGGTCTTAGCTAAAAAAAAAAAAGTAGAACAGTTAATTCTTCAACTTGAATCATACCCATGTTTGTGTCTACAACTCACCTTGGATGTCAGGATAAGCCAACATATAGAGCAGAGCCCAACGCAGAGTGGTGGCCGTGGTCTCTGTGCCACCAAAGAAAAGGTCAAAAACAGACTGCACCATGTTGTCTTCATCAAATGTAGAATTCGGGATATTTTTAGTCTACAGGTGTCAAGGAGAAATGTAAAATGGGGTACATCTGTGTAACAGCACTGAGACAGACAGCAATCACTGTATTTAAAGGAAAAATATTTCTGGAGGGCAGAGAAAAATACAGGTACCTGAGCAGAACACAGGTTCTGCAAAGACTTTCCTCAAATAAGTACCTCGATACTGTTATGCTACCTTCTGTTTACTTCCACAGCAGAAAACACATTTCAAAGTATAATATATATGTTACCCTTTCAAAATATTTATGCTATGTTTTTGCCATCATTTTAAAATTGTTCTTATAATCATACAGTACCACTAAGCACAAAAATAATAAAAGCAAATATTAATAAGGCACAAAGAATCAGAATTAGGCAGCCATCTAAATACCCCAACCTTTTCAAGGTCCTCCCTACCGCCCACTGCCCAGCCCTCACTAAGGATTCCACAGGATGACAACAAGCCAATGTAAATAATGTGTACTACTAGAACAAGTTATTGAACAAACTATTCAAAGGTCATATTTTGACTTTGACAGCAGGGTTTTTAAACTGTAGTTGTAGAGCTCTGTACTAATGCTGGTGTGTACAGACAACTGTAGGGAAGGGACAGAGAACCCTTTATGACAGGATCTGTGTTACATACAGCATGAATTACTCACTTTCTCTATCTGATCCAGGTAAAAGTCAATGAAATCTTCTGGTTCACCTATTCTGCCTTTTTCCCTGTGGCTTTTGATTTCCTGCCTTACAAAGGAACAAACAAAATCCCGTGAAAATACTGCTTTCTGTAGAGATCCTGAGAGACGCTCTGCAGCCCAGGTGAAAATTTCACTGATCTGTGGAGCAAGCATTCAACACAAAGGCAGTAAGTGAAAACCATATGAGAAGACTGGTGATAGAGATACAGTGTGGACATTTTTGGTGCTAAATTGCTGAATTAATTTCTCTTGGAAAAATGCCGTGTCACCAAAGAGAAATGTTGGGTACATGTGGAGTACATGAACACACATTAAAACTCCAAATTAAAGACAACACGGTTTCCATCCTGGAATCTTTCCTATTCTTACTGCATAACTCCACTGTTAATTCACCAACAAAATAATCTGCTTTTGCAGATAGATGTAACATGTATTATTAATAATAAATCTCATATTAATAAACATTTATCTCTATTACCTTAGCACACAGGAAAAAAAATTCATTCTCTTTCATTCTCACACAAAGAATATCACCTTTTCACCTTAACAACCTTGGTGTTTCTCCTACAGAAAAGTTCAGTATCCCAAGCATATTGCCTTTGCTGGGACATTCTAATAAAGATTATTAATGTAATATTCATAACTGCATTATGTCAAACCCAAAGCACTGCAGGTCCAGTTCATATTCACAGTCAACATTTTTATCAGTATTAAATAATGCAATAACTATCATAATAGATCATTGTATAATTATATTGCAATAAATAATGTGCTCAATAAACAAATAAGGTGCATATGAAATAAGTAATTTTCTCACATAATAAATGCGGCTGTTCCCAAAAGCCACTATAGCATTGTATGCCTCAATCAGCTGACGGAAGGTTTCATCTTCCAGGGAGAAGCGATGTCCAAAAACCACAGCACAGATCACATTAGAGACAGCATGGACAATGGGGAAGGAAGGGTCAACAGCTTTTCCTGCAGACAGAGAAAAGCATTCATCTCCAAAGCACTTCCTTTACCTCCTTTGCTATTTGGGAAGCAAGATCACAGTGACATTTTATAATAGATGCCCTCTATGGTATTTAGACTGTTATTCACAAACTGTGTTACTCACAAACACAAAATTCACTGGCAAATGTAATAAAAGATAAACCTCATTCAAAAATGAGGACAGCAAGGCATCAAATCTTTAACTCCCAGACTTAGAGGTTTTTTGTTTGTTGCTGAGGTCTGACTGTACAGTTTCGATTGCACTTTAAATCTAAGATGTGCCCAAACCCACTTCATTCTGGAGCAAAAACAGTCTTTGCCCTCAGAGTCCTGCAGACTCTGTGTCAGTTCCCAAGCACTGTGCCAAAGTCGTACCATCTTTGTCTCTGAAGAACTCAACCAGGTAATGGGCCTCAGTTTGTATCCCACGCTCCATTCCTTTATTCCCCATTCCCAGTTTTCGGAGAGCTCCGATTCCAAAATGTCTCTGTTGTTTCCAGATGAGACCGTTGGAGACCAAGATACCTTCATCCAACAAGAATCAATTTTATGTCATGTTAACATTCATACAATTGTAAATGATAAACACCATAAGAATCACCTTCTCATCATGCTGCTGCTCAAAGAGGAGTGTTCTTTTAATTGTATGTTATAAGAGGCAGAGTAAACACCTTGGTTAAGATATTCCCAGCCCTGCAAAAAAACCCACTCAGGTCTCTGGCCTCACCCACATGCTTTCCAAACCTAGTCCTATTCTTTCTGAAGCATCCAAGAACAGTGGTCATCACTCAAACCTCCACCCAGCAGCCTGCTGAAAGCTGCAATAATGTGGGTTGGTTGTTGCCTTTTATTTGCCCAGGCTTTGAAAAAAAATTAATCTTTCCCCTTATCCATATAGAAAGGCTTGTAGCCCAGTTGATGCAATCTCTTACAAGACCTAATTTATTATCTTGTACAATCTTCTAATACAATTAATACTTACTTGTAAGCTGTGCTTGCCAACATCCCTGTGGGGACATTGTGTCCTTACAGATGTTGCCACATATTAACTCTGCAGGAATGGCAAACACAGCTTTCCTCAACCAAAAGTAAGCTCAGGTTTCCTCCACCTGGAAACCTGGTGGTGTCTCTGATGAAGCTACTCACAACCAACAGAAAGATTTTTGTGGAGGTTATTGGGGAGGTCTGGGCATTTCCTGTGCTTGAGCTTCTCAACCTTATGCAAAACTTCTGGATATCATCACATCTCCCTGTTGCTTATGCTTCAAAAATAAAGTGGATAATTGGTTCTGAGCACTCACTGTCTATGCTACGAAGTCTCTGGCTTTTAGATATCCTGCTTTTACACCAGATACTGAGCTCTTGCCCTGGTCCAGGTCCCTCCTGGAAAGACAATGAAGCCAGGGCAAAAACCACTCAGTAAAAACCAGAGAAGGAAGAACAGGCTTTAGCCAGTCTGCAAACAGCTTCCTGCGACCAGAGTTCAGTTGCTTTTCTCCACAGCATCCAGATAAAAAGTGTCAATACAGATCCTTCCAAATGGACTGAAATGGCTCCAGACTTAATAATCTCTATTCCTTAAAGAGGTTTTTTTCTACTTATATTAGCTAGTACTATAACTTAAAGGTTTCCAGATTGTAAATAACATGCAAGAAGTCATGACTGAGGATAAAAGCATCTGCTCTATCTACTCTGGATAAGAGCCTGACGGAAGTAAGTTCAATTATTTCTGTTTTAAACACAGCACTGTCTTTATTCTCCATCCACCACAATTCAGCAGTGTCTCTGATAGCACAATAAGAAGCTCTGAACAAGGATATGTTGCACCTACACTCTGGCTAATACATTTAAAGCCCCATCTTCCTGTGACTTTGTACTTCAGAACAAGGCTAGATCTTATTCACAGCACTGTACATGCTTTCCTACAGCAACTTTTGCTCCAAACAAACAGCTGGGAGCATAAAGAATTAGTTGAGACTCAGCTTGCAGAGGAGGCTGCAAGCTCCAAATTATTTCAAATTGGGACATACAGACAACATTAAGAATTGACAAACAAGACCTAGCTACATATAAATATTGCTGCTCTGGTGAGATTCTGAAACATATATGTGACAGTGGGACTTTGGAGACCACTTAGGGTGATGCTACAGAATTATATGATTCACCTTGAGCAGACAGAATAAGTCAACTGGGAACTCCAGTGAGGAAAACATGAGAGGAAGCAAAGAAAGTCAAGGATGAAGTCCTGCCACGGACATGAACATCTTACCCTTTCCATTTGCCAACTTCTTGAAGACATAGGTCTGTAGTCGCCCAGAAACATCCTCTGAGTTGGTGGTGAAACCGTCCTTCACAGCTTGGAATCCATACAGCATCACCAAAGGTCTGTGACCCATCCACAAGGTGCAGATGTTGCCATAGGTTTTTGCCATCTGCAGGTTAGATCAATGTCAAAAAATACCCATGGCAGAAACATCAACCAACATGCACACATGATGGGCTGCTCTCTTCCAGTATGACATTACTCAGGGGTTCAGGAGATGAAAAGGGACAGTGGTTGTGTTTTGCAGTGGGGGTGCCTACCAAAAAGGTTCTGGGGTCTCTCTGGGAACACACAATTTACAGAAACGGAAGCAGTGAAAGAATAAACCCTCTTCCCCTTCTTAATACTTACCTTGGATTGCCCTTGCAATAGTAACCATTAGGAAAATGCCCCTGAGTGTCTACAGATCTATATGAGCTTTCATGTGAAATTTCACCTGCCCTTTCTTCATTACAATTTTCAACTCAGGCAACAACCAGAACTTCTTGAAATTATGTATTCCAGGTGTAACTCTCCTTCTAGTACTGCAGATTTCAAGTTTCAGTGGCGGGAACTCTTTCCCTCTTATACACAAATACTGTCAACTGAGGCATCTGAGCATAGATCCCACCTCTGGGTAGTGATGGGGACTGCTCTCAGGCAGTGCTGTGGGTATTCTGAAAGGACCAAGTCCCTGACTCTAGACAAAGAAACAGTACAGCTCCATCCTCTCACAGTACCCATCAGAAAAATGTACCCATCAGAAAAATGAAGCCTCAAGCTCTTTTAAGTTCTCTTTTCCTGAAGCCAGCCCTCTCCAGCTGCAGCCAGGCACCCCCAGACCTGCAGGTTGCCCTTAGCACATAAGGAAAGGTCACAACTTGAAAAATATATCAACACATTGGATTCTTTTGTGATGTTTTGGCTCAGTGGAGAATGTAGAAAACTGAAAGAATCTGTATTAACATGCTTAGATGGACCTAAGTCTTCCCATTAGGTCTTTCCTTTCACCATCATTTACACCCTTAGCTTATCTGCAAGGAGCACATCCCAGACTGGACTCCAGAGAAACAACAGAGCAAAGGATTTGGCTGCACACAGAATACAATCTTATTTCCATCCCATGACAGCAGAAGACATCCTGGTGTCCTTTTTACATCTTCTGAATTCAAGACACCTTGTTTTAAAAGATTTTTAATACATGCCTGTGGTGCAAAATCTGAGAACCACTTTTTTCTTTCAAGGCTAAACACTCCCTTAAAAACAGAAGTCTTTTTTGAAGCAAATCTACTCTCTTCAGTTCTGTTTAAGTTGCACACATACCAGCTTTCATACGAATCACACTGTCTGCAGATTTTACTTAACAGGTTTAGACACCTAATTTAACTTCCACAAGTTACCTTCTCTCAGGATTAAGTTCTCCCTGCTACCACATCAGCCTATCAACAGCCACCACCGGTTTTTTACAGGTTTTGCCTCAATAGCTCTTTAGTTCCCATCTGCAAATACATACCTTTCTCAGGCTCCCATGATCAGCTCTAAACTTTACCCACCACATGCTTCCAATGATGGGAAATGGGGTCGGTCCAGGAGGAAAACCACGACTCTTCCATTGCAATTTCAAGAACTGTGCACTAAGAAGAAACAAACCCAGGGATATGAGAATTACACTTATCATTATTTCACACCTCCAAACTCTTATCACCAAGAAAGTTGCTACGAATCTCTCTGTTGAAATGACTCTGGATTGTTCTTCTTAACTCTTCCCTAGCAAAATGAAGCTTTCTGAATTTTTCACCTCCCTTCTTTCCTACCACTCTTCCTGATCTGAGACAATGAGGAGTCTTCCCATTCTTGAATGTATTTAATACATCACTATGCTGCAATATGCTAATAGCTACTGTGACTTTAAGATCAAGCAGAGGCTAGAAGGCAGAAACCTCAGCCAGAAACATCCCTTTGAGCAATCAATCAGTTTGACAGAAGATGTCACTCAAAACACTGATTATGTGCACACCAAGAGCTCAGGTACAAAGCTGCAGCTGTCAGCCAGCTACAGACAAGAACAGGAGCATTCACCAGGTAGCATTTGTGGGGCAGAGGTAAAAGTAAGCAGTCAGTAACCCTGTACAAGAGTGGGTGCAAATGCAGACTTAGGAACCAAGAGTAATGAGGTATTGTAACCTGAGTTTTCACAGTAAACAACACAGATGAACTGCAAAGAGAACAGTGAAGGATCAAACATAATTAGTACTATTGACAAAAAGTGTAACAGACCTTATATCCCAGTTCATCATTGTTAGGTCCCAGAAGCTGCCCTTTAACACAGCTTGCAGCAGCACAGCTGCCTCACAGCACAGTACATTCCACCTCAGCTATGTATGTTTGGAGCAACATTTCCCCACAGTGGTTGCTGAGGGCCTGGCAAGTTTCTGATGTTCTAGGAGAGGGGAGATTGCAGTGTGCAAACTCAGGGGGTCTGTAAGAATCCCAGGAGAACAAGTGCACTTGCTTTTTCTCATTTTACTTGTGGAAAAGTCCTGGTGTGATAGCACTGTCAGAGATACATGTCTGCAGAACAGCAGAGTAGAGCTATCCCTGAGGGCTGTCATTCTCTCTCAAGATTTGCTGCCTAAAAAACTCAACCCATCTTTGCAACTCCACTTGCACAATCCATTGGTGTTACTTACTAGCTGGCAGAAAGGACATAAGGCACATTTTGAAAGATGTTTTCACATTTTATTCATTCATTCAAGTTCAACAGTAGCATTCAAGGTACCTTATCTCTATCCATGTTTAGAAGGGCAAAAATATTTCTCTGGAGAAAAAAAATTCTTTCCTAACACGGGAATTAATCTGGGTTGGACTCCAGAAGTTTCTTCCAGTGCTCAGGAATCAGTCAGGACAGTATACATTTGCAATAGCCACACTGTCCTGCAAGGAAGGAGGAGTTGGTTCTAGGTTGTCTCTAAACCTCTCTCCCTGGGAAAGTCATCCAAACAAGTCTTACTTTGAATTTTCTGTTACATCCACAACTTCTGACATTCCAAGTGCAAGAAGTAGCCAACAGGCTACTAGATCTCGCTCTGAAAAACTGTCCAAAAGAATGCTGAAGCTGCAAATACTCAAACACTAGGAAATACCATAATTAGGACTGTCTGCACAATATCCATTACTTCTTCCTGACACTCCAGTGAGAGAAGGGTAACTAACTTGTACTATGGTTTAGCCTACGAAATTCTTGTCTCTCTTCAGTTCCTCTGCAGCTTACTGCAGAGTACTGCCAAGATTATACAGCACTTCACAAACCAGTGAGACTGAAAGGGCACCAGACCTTTGTAGCTCCCACGCCATCAGGATGTACAGCAGCACAGCACCTGTGTAAGGTCTGCATTGCTTTTGTCTAAGTAGCACTACACTACCAAACCAAACCAACAGCCCAAATGAAACAGAAGGCAACAACAAAAACAATGGAAAAACAAAAGTAGGAATGTTTACAACAGTCACTTTACAACAGTCACTTTCCTTCCTAATAGCTAGGGCTCTTGCTTTTAGTGGTCCTGCTGTCACTCCATGTCAGTGATGCACTGTCTCAGCCTGCTACACCCTCAGAAATATACTTGGAAATGAATAAATTAATTACCATCCTTTGTTGATAAATCTCTCTAAGATTACATAAACCAACTGGTTTTACTTTGGGATGTCTGGGATGATTAGGTATTACTAGCAGGAAGAGAAAGTGGTGGTTTTTACAATTCATTGTAATGCAGAGTGATAGTATTTAAATTAACTCAGTTAATGTGCACAAATGGTGAAATAAGGACCAAAATACAAATAAAGTAATGGTGAGAGCAAGCAGGTAGAGGCAGGTGTTTACAGAGAACCTTTTTGCAAGCAGGTTGTTGTGGGGAAAATCAGTTTTCCTTCTTCCAATATCTTCCTTAGATGTGAGCAGTACCTCTCCATGCAAGTTGCACATTATTATCTGACAAATACTATCCAAGACCTCATAGGCAGAGATGGCAGGTGTTTGGTCAGCTCAGAAAACCTCCTTTTCTAATGGAAGTTTTAGACTGTAGGAGTGGGAAGAAAATACAGAGAAAGAACTCAACAGAAACAGTCATACCTGCCATCTACAACTTGGCTTTTATTCAATCTTCAAACTCTTTTGAAAAGTGAATGTCAGGGTTGATTAGGCCCAGAGAGATAAAGCAAGTTCCTGAGAGTCACAGACAAGCTATGAACAGATCTAGGAACAGAATTTGAATTTCTCAAGTTTCATTCCAATACTTTGTCTATGCAACCTAAATAGCTCATCAGTCTTCAGGTCCCAACACCACAGACAACAGCAGGAGGCAAAAACCTATCAAAGTTATTTATAATGCACGTAAGCAAAGTTCTCTTTTCCTGAACTGAACAGAAACACAGAATGGGAACTTCATTTGCTCCGATTTCTCAGTCCCATGTTCACTCCAGCTCTGTGCTCTAAGCCACACTCTCCCTCTCTCAGTGCTTGCCTGGACAGTGTTTGTGTAACTCTTTCCTCAGAGAAATTCTGACGCCAGTGACCAAGTAACAGCTCCTGAGATGAAGCTCTTGAAAGACCAGGGAGTGCAGGGGAGGAAGGAACAGTTAAGTTGAGAAATCCAAATTAGTGTCTCCACTGGAAAATAAACCAAAACAACAACAACAAAATAACAAACCCACAAAAAAAGCCCAAACCTGCTTAGCAATGTCTGCTCTGTTTAGCTTGACACCAGGCCAGGCAGCAAGCACATTGCTATGCCAAGCAATACACGCACAGCTTGGAACCAGGCAGTGTTTTCTAATACATGCTGAGCCTGTCTCTGTAACAGATAAAAAACGAGCCCTGGTTTTACAGCAGAGCACATGACACACACCCTGGGCGGAGGGGAGCCAGGAACCCTTTCCACCCTGTGAACACCACGTTCATCATTTGCTTCACACCTTTCTGAAGATACTGTTCTTTCCCTGTCCTCTTCAGCTGCTGCATTTGCTTCCCACTCCTATGGCCTGAAACCCTCATTACCAAAGCAGGTTTCCTCATCTGTCCTAAACAACCAAACTTAATATCTGTCATCTTAACTGGTGAGCTCTTGCAATAGTATTTGTGTCAGAGGAGTTCGAGCAAGATTTATGCGAAGAGCTGCTGCTCATGTATACTGAAGGTATTAAAGTACACAATAACAAAAGAGCTTCCTTGCTTTTCCCTTCCTTGCAAGCTTCATCACAAGCTTTTGTGAAATAACTTCACCTCATCCTACTTTCAGCATGCCCACAGGTTTCACCTAGCAGCAGGAAAACACCCTGCCCACAGTGCCCAAAAGGTAAGGCTCAGGTTAACCCTCTTGGTGGGCCAAGCCTTACTCAGCAGGAGTTTTTTCTTTTTGTTTTCTTTTTTTTTCTAAGTTGCATTATAATCACCCTCATTAATAGGCAACCTCAAGGCTTAAGTCATCTTAATTCTGGTAGTCTTGAGTGTATAAATCATACCTTCATTGATGGCATGCGTGCATCAACAGCTTTCAGGGGTTGCAAAGCTTACAAACTTAACAAATGATTCTATGCACAAGCAAGAAATAGAATAGTGTTTGCTTTCTTTTAAGCAGATGGGACCGGCTGGACAAAACAAGGACAAAAAAACATACAAAGAAATGAAATTCTGATGCACATAGGAGGCAAGTCAAGTTAGTTAGATAATTTCATCAGGTAACTCACTTTAAAGTCTCAAATAGCATCAAAATCTGAAAAACTGGATGGATAAATGATTGCTCAATAGCATAACTCAATAACACTGTGATTTTTGGTAAGCATATCAACATGTCTGAATTGACTGATAAAACCATAAAATTTAGCAAATTTCAAATTGCTTCTCTCAGTTTTTTGTCTTTTTAACTCTGCAAGTATAAGATGCACAGAACCATGCTGCTGAAAATGATGCTTATTAAACTTTTCTGTTTCCATTTCTCTGCCCCAAAACCTAAACAAATGGATAAAAAAGGTACACGGGCATGGTCCTTGCCCTCTGATTGCTGCTCCACTTCCACACTTTCAGGAAAAGCATCTGCAAATGCAGCCCACGAAAGCAGAAGAGCTGCATGAAACTGCACAGAGCAGTCAAGTGGTGGCTGCTCAGAAAAGTAAGGCAAGAAAATGCTGCAATGTCGCTGCTGCTCTGCAGCCCCCCTGTGTTTCCCATATGCAGCTGAAATTATTACAATCCACTAGAGAAAAAAAAAAAAAGACAAATTCTCATTTACATATTTTTCAAGACTGAATGATGCAAGATTGCATTTAGCACATTTTCTTTTACTAACCCCACAAACACAAAAAACATTGAACTCATTAGAAAACTAACTGAAATTAGTATCCACACCTATAACGCAGTTTCTTGAAGTTTAATGCAGTTCTTAAGAAGCCCATGGATAGCGTTAAACCTTTATATTTCATTATCATAATGTACACTCAATAACCTTGCAATCAATAACCTTGATCTTGCTGAAACTTTTTGAGCTGAAAACTGCGGACTGGAAAATTCAGCAAGCCTGTTCAGAGAAATTATGATAAAACTTGGAAACAGGCAACTTCTGCAATTGTATGGATTCCCTTAATCCCCTATACAGACTTGAAGATATATCATTAGCTGAGTTCTTGAACCAAGTGTCAAAAGTCAAATCTAATATATCAGCAAGTATGAAAAGTAAGCCTCTTAAGTTCATGTTTGCTACACATTAGTACAAACCTCTCCTGAAAGCTTATGAGGTCCACAAATCAGTAAAAACTAAAAGTTTTGCCCCTTTCTTAAGTTAATTTGCTTTTTTCCACAGATCAAGCAGAACCTGTGCATTGTTTCACTTCCAAAATTTGCACCAGAAGAGTTTAAAACTTAGCATAAAAAAATAAAATAAAAAAATTAGAAAACAGTGAACAATCTGCTGGAGAAAAAAATAACCTCTCACTAGTGTTCCACATAACTTAACCTTGAATACAATAAAAGAAGAAAGTAAATACTCACCTAATTATTAAATTGCCTTTTTTTTGTAATTAAAGACATTATTTTAGCTTGATGCTGCATGAATTCAGTTCTTTTTCATCTCAGAGACCATATTCTAACACACAGGTATTGTGCAGATGTTTCTTCTTCTTCTATAAAGAAACTACATAATAATTATAGTATTTCAGAACAGCAAGAAGTAATGCATTTTAACATTTAGCTACAGGAAACTACCTGAGGTGTTACCATTATGCAAGACACTTTATAACCTTGGATAACTGTTCAATAATTGGCACTTAGACCCAGTATCAAGACTAAGAAGGAAACAAAATTCTAAGTGAAAAAAGAGACAGATCTCAATTACAGATCTTAAAAAAGAGTGGGTGGGGCTTGACTAACCACCAAGGATCACATATTTTGGTTTTCTAAGGACTTCAGCTTGGGAAAATTGTAGATTGTCCGAGAGAGATGGCTACAGCAGGCATATATTCTTAGAGAGAGTTTGGAGTCAGTAGAATAAACTCATCTACACAAGTCCAAATTTTCAGAGGAAGTCAGACTCTAAAAAAAAGACCAAAAAAAAAGGCAAAACCCAGGGAGAAGTTACAATATTGACAAGATGTTGGGGATTTCTGAGATTTGTATGGCTCTAGTAGTATGTCTCCTGATTTTGCAGTTCCTAAAGCTGCAATGGATGTGTACCCAGCTTCCTCCAGGACCAGTTCCTCTCCCCATCATTGGAAATTTGTGGCTGCTGGACTTCAAACTTCGTCGAGAAACTCTCACTAAGGTATTTATTTATCTCTATGGTTGAAAATCAGTCTGAATCTATTTTAACTTACATTGTGCATTGCATAGGAACATTCTAAATTGCTATTTTTTTTAAACCTCAAGCTTGATTATTAGCCAATTTCAAAGACTCAAGGACCCTGCCTTATTAAAAATATTTCTGAATAATAAACACTACAATAACTTTACTCCTTGTTATTTTCTCACTCTTTTGGTTGCATTATCACAAGCACTGTCATAGAATGCTATTTCATTGACAGCTTCATTCTGTTTCTATGCTGATATCCAGCCCTGTAAGTCACCTCTAGTAGACCTTCCTTTGCATGATACCAATGTCACTGGAACCTCTCCAGGCCACAAGTGGTCCCATCTCCTCTAGAAGACTAAACATATACTCTAAATGGACTCTTTTTTTTCTTATTTGTAGAGCAAAAAGACTTATCTGTACTAAACACATTACTGAAACAAAGCAGGAAAATCTGATTGCTGTTATGTTTACAGCATGGCTGCTTCATAAACCATTTAAAACTTTTTTTAAAAAGTAAGGAACCTGCTTCAAACTGCTTCAAGGAAAAATACAATCATGGTCTGACAAAAGAGAATAAAGAAAAATAAGAAAAATCATGTGGAAGCTCAGAAAAGAATGCAAAAAAAAATTTTTTTTTGTTTTCTTTGGAAATTAGAGGCAGGAAATATATAATAACTTTGGTTCATTAATGAAATAAACAGAAAAGCTCTGGGATTTTGCCTGTTTTCATTTATTCTTTGACTCAGAGCTAACAGAGCAAACCTGTGGTTTCTCTTTCTGTGAAGTTTTCAGAGGTGTGTTTCTGAGGGATGTCCTTAATATCTATTGCACAAAGAACAATTATCTTCTGTTCCCAAAGCACATCAGTAACAGAAGGATAAATATTTCCAAAGCCTGCTATTCAATTCAATATAGGCAAATGGGCTTAGTAACAACTACAGAAAACTCTTGAATAAATCAGTATTTGAGTGTATGCTTTCCCTGGTTTATAGTTCCTAATTTCCTGTTGTTAACTCTTCAGTTAACCAACATCTACGGAAACATCTACACGCTGTGGATGGGACAGACACCTATGGTTGTACTGAATGGATACAAAGCAGTAAAAGATGGCCTTGTCACCCACTCAGAGGAAGTTTCTGGAAGACCTCTCACCCCATTCTACAGGGATATGATGGGCGAGAAAGGTACAGGGTGTTACACCAGACTGAAACAGGAACAAGGTGTAAAGAAGAAAGATACTTTTCTGTGCATACACTCACACATCAGTTTATATATTTATATAAATATATATATGGTTGAATTTTCAAGCTGTTACTTGAAAACCAAAAGGAAATAAGTCATTTCAACATGACTAAGAAAATAAAACTATACAGTATTTTTTTTCTGGTTTTTGGAGGAGAGGGAATGTTTGTTTTGTTTTTTAACAAGGGCACAACTGGGCTTTCATTGCAAAAAGGTTCCATGCAGAGCTAAGTATGTTAAGGAAGGGGAAAAAACCTCCAAAATTTCCTCTCTTATAGAGCATGCCACTGACCTTTTTCCTTCCCAACAGATTCAAAGGAATATTTGCCTCGAGAAGTTGCCCTTCAATTGTATAACTTCTAAAACAGAAAACTGTTCATAGAGAGAAAGCTGTTCCGTTCTTCCCAAAACCCACTACCACTCAGTTTGCAGGGTCACATTTATGAGCAGCTGGGAGTCATAAAATCTTCAGTTACAGACTAAAACTCTGAATCTAAAATTGTGGTATCTTGCTGGTGAAATATAACCTCACCTAAATCTGATTTTGCCTCCTGCAGTGAAAGGATTTCCTTTCCCAGCAATGAAATGAATGTTTCTCTGTTCTCCAGGTATTTTCCTGACAAGTGGCCACACCTGGAAGCAACAGAGACGCTTTGTCATGACAATTGTAAGAAGCCTGGCACTCGGAAAGAACAATTTGGAGCATCAAATTCAAACAGAGGCCTGTCGCCTTGTGGACATCTTTGCAAACACAAAAGGTAAATTCATTAGAACAACAACACTTAGAACTTTTTTCTGAAATATTAGGGGTGGTAAAAGTTTCATGATACATTTTTATAAATAATATAGATATTTTTCATAGCAGTAGGACTTTTACTGGCTTGACTGCATTCTTTGCAAAAGATGTTTTGTCTCCACAGTGGGCAATATAAAATTGTTTTTTAAAACAAGGTTAGTTAAATAAATATTTGTTATCAGCATAGTCTTGGGGACAGCTGGTAGCAATTCTTACAATCAAGGAGTGTAGAAAAATCCTATGTTTTCCTCCATAAAATACACAATGTGTGACCTGCTGCGAGTCATTTTAGGACAGCAGACTTTTAGGATTTGGCAGAGAAAGAACCCCAACACAAGGAATGTATCATTCAGTTGCCCAGTAAAATTTTTTTTTCGGTTTGGATGAAATAGAAACCAATAGAATTTTAGCAAGATGCCAAAATAAAGCAATTAAATATAAATATTCTGAGCAGCCAAATCCCTCACCCACATTGTGTTCCATACGGATGTGAAAACACAGAGAGGTTGCCTGAGGTCTCTCTCCAACTCTCCTTGGATCAGGCCCCTCTCTCTTCCAAGAGCAACATATTCACATATCTTTCAAATGTAGGAGATTAAAAACCATCTACTCCAAGTCCCCTTACAGCCCAAATCCCTACCTTCCATGCAATCCCTTCCCCAATTTTAAACTCAATAAACGTATTTAGTCTTTCCAAGAATGACCAAAAGCCTGAAGTCAGGGATGTATTTCCATAGGAGTATAATTCAAAGGTTGTATCTGCCAATGAAATATGTACTTAAGTTTATGATTTCTGGATTTAATACTTTTTAATGGGAGCCATTTTCCATCCCATTACATGAGCTTTGCCTTTTCAGTTTGTGGGAAAATATATGGTTGAATTGTCAAGCTGTTACTTGAAAACCAAAAGGAGATAAGTCATTTCAACATAACTAAGAAAATAAAACTATAAAATATTTTCTTTCTGTTTTTTGGAGGAGGGGGAATGTTTGTTTTGTTTTTTAATTACCAAACTTAAATATCTGCCTCCAGATTTGAAGGCATATGTTCTAATTAATCGCTTGTGTTTCCACACAATTCAGACCCCAAGTTAAAGAAGAGAAAGGAGAATTAATGTTTGTCTTCTCAAAACTAATAATCACTGTATTTTGCAAGAATAAAAAGCAGATTGAAAATTAAGATTCCCTGCATTTACGATTCATGTAGTTAATATGTATTAAACCAGGGTTCACTTGTGTGAAATTTATCTAAAAGCAGTTTGATCTCCTATTATTTTTACCATTAAAAAAAAAGTCTTCCTCATTTCTTTCACTGTATTCTATTCAGAAGTACTCACAGAACCTCCTGTATTCACAGGCAAACCTTTTGACCCCCACACTTCCATTGTCCATGCCATTGCAAATATAATTTGTGCTGTTGTTTTCGGTCATCGCTTCTCCAGTGAGGATGAATCTTTCAGGAAACTTATCAAAGCTATTTATTTTGTGATCTACTTTCAAGCTACTATCTGGGGCAGGGTAAGAATTTGATTTTCTTGTTCTTATTCCTTTAAGTGCATTTGCAGTTGACAAGTCAAAACAATGTAATGATTGTTCCCAAACGTCTCCACACCAATGAATACATACCTTGTATATGTCATACTGCCTTATAATCCTTCATGTCTATAAATCACATGATTTAGAATTTAAATTTTAGGACATCACTGGTTTCCACAGATTTCCAACAAGTAATCATTTGCAGAATAGTTGGTATGTAAAATTCCCAATTCTTAAAATGAAAGTAATTTCTAAAATTTAATTTTTCTTCAGTCTTGTGAATACAGAACTGCAGTTAATAAGAACTAAGGCTTCAAAGTCCTGTTCTTTTGAGAATGTATCTTGCTTCTCATATAATTCATATTACCACCAAGACCTGAGTTATTCTGAGCTTCCTATAAAATACAGGTTACAATCTCACCACATCAAGAATAATATTTTTAGGTTCTTACAAGCCTACCTATTGCTTTTGTTGTGCAGATTTTGGCAACTGACTTTCTATAATATTATCAGGTTCTCCATAAAGAGTTGTCTTAAAAAAATTACTGTTAAAAAAAATCAAGACTGAGAAAATCTGTCTGTGAGTCAGATTCAGCCCTCAATTACTCCAATTCACCAATTTTCAGAACCTCTGATGTATTTTTTGGTATTCATCCAAAAAGCAAAATATAATCACGTTCCTATGTGATGCAGTGACTTCACAGACTTATCAGGAAATCAGAATTCAGTTTAAAAGACTTCACATTCCTTTCTTTCTGTCTACAACCACAGCTGTATGATGCTTTCCCATGGCTTATGCACCATCTCCCAGGGCCTCATCAGAAAGTGTTTGCATACAACGACTTCATGCACAGTTTAGTCATGAAGGAGGTCCAGGCCCATGAGAGAGAGAAGGCAGGTGATCCACAGCATCTCATTGACTTCTACCTAGCTCAAATAAAAAAAGTAAGTATCTGTTTATCACCCTCCTTGGCCTCAATGCCTACTACAAACACTTGGTTCCAGTAACTGCCACGGAACTTTCAAGTGCACGCTTTATTTGTGTAGCACTGAAGATGTCTGTTCTGGTGGGCTGCTCCCTGTTTTCATTAAACAATGACAATTTCTACATGACTGATGAAATGTATAAAATCATCCACTTCATAGTCTTCTTGTGAATATACCCTACAGACCAAAGATGACCCTACTTCTACGTTCAATAAAGACAATATGGTTCAGACCGTGGTTGATCTTTTGTTGGGAGGGACAGAAACAACAAGCACCACCCTTCTCTGGGCATTGCTCTATATGGTACAACATCCAGAAATACAAGGTGAGCAAAATCATTATCAGAGAGAACTGCAGTCAACATCATAATGAACATTATTAGTATAAGTGTTAGCTCAATCACTTGCAATACATCAAAATAACCCTTAAATAGGAATATGAATGGCAGAACATCAACAACTGAGATCTGGAAAATGGAAAGTTAATAAAGAAAACAAACAGGTGCTTTCCCCTCCAGTTCACCAGCAACACTACAAAAAATTGGTGGTAGCCACTGTTTTATCTCATAGAAGAGGGGTTGGCAGGACAGAATAACAAGTTAGAGACATTTCACATGCAACTAGCCCCCTCCTAACCTTCAAAGTGGAAAAGCTTTTAAAAGATACCTGGTCCAATGTGTATTTAAAAACATAACAGAAATTACATCTGTAATTTCAAACTTTAATCTTTTTTTTGAAACGTAGAACTGTATTACGCTCATCACCAAGTAGGATGTGTCATCCTGTGCTTTAGGGATATGCACTTCCTTGATCAACTGAAACCAATACAGCAGTCAAACCACCCGCCAGTGTATTTCATAGCAACATAATTTCTTTTATTTCCCCAGTCCTGGACATTCTTATGCAAAAACCTGCAGGATAAAAAAAGGAGGGGAAAAAAAAGTTTAAGTATTTTCATTTCTCTCTCTGCAGAAAAGGTTCAGAGAGAGATAGATGATGTTGTGGGACCCTCCCATCCCATCAGCTATGAGGACCGTAAGAAGCTGCCGTACACCAACGCGGTGATTCACGAGGCTCTGCGGTACAGCAACGTTACCTCTGTCGGGGTCCCCCGACAATGCGTGAGGAGTACGACTCTGCTGGGCTTCCACATAAAAAAGGTACAGAGTTTCATGTTTCTATCCACGTTGTCCATGTTTCTTAAAGCTTTGAGCTATTAATATTCAGTATTTATACGACATGACAGTTCCTAACTTCGCAGAGAATGTGGCAACACGTCACAGACACGAAGTGTGAAGAGTGCAAAAACCAAATAGGAAAGTGTTATGATTACCCTGACAAGCACATAAAACAATCCAAGCTCCACTCCATCTTAGACATGAAAACACTTCAGTAGTACTGACAGAAGATAACAAACAGGTTATGACAAAGAGAAGGTACAAGGGGATGTGCGCTTGTAAAAAGGCCAAGTTGAATCCAAACACGAGGCTGCAGTCACAGGATGGCAGACTATCTATTAGAGAGAAGGAAAATAATAAAAAAAAATCAATCATACATGAAAAATATAAACTCTGCTGCTTCTTACAGGGCACACTTGTATTGCCAAATCTGCACTCTGTGGTGTATGACTCTGAGCACTGGGCGACCCCCTGGAAGTTCAACCCAGATCATTTCCTTGATTTGGATGGCAACTTTGTAAACAAAGAGGCATTCTTACCTTTCTCAGCAGGTAACACTCTGACCTTGAATATTCCTGTTTTCTGTGTCTTGTAGATCAAGATTAGAAACGCCATTTCTAAGTTCTAAAATTTTAAAAACATGCCTTTATAAAAATGTATTTGGCACAAAGATTTAAAGTCAGGTTTTCTGCTCAGTAAGAGCTACAAATGTTGTCTTGCATTTTGTAATTTTGATGCATTCAAAGAGAGGATGAGTATGGCCAGGAGACCCAGTGCTCTCCTTGGCATATGTACAACTCCTACTGTAAGGGTATCTGAGCTTCTTAGTTCTTGATGTGTCAAATCAAGCTAACACCCTCAAATCAGAAAATTTATTTATTTTCACCTTACAGACAGAAAGCCCAGTGATAAAAGCATACGATTTTTCAAAATATACAGAGAAATGTGTGATAAAGCAGGAAACCAAACCTCACCCTCCCAAATCCTACAGTTATAGTCTAGCATCAGGTGCCTAAATTGCCCATAAATCCTAAATTCATCTTTGTAAAACAGGTACCTAGCATCTTACCTCCTGCACTCACCAAATACCCGTAGTTCACATCAATCAAGACACCTAATTTGGACTACCATTTCAAGCCAGGCATAGGAAGATTTCGTTTTTAACTTGCCTTGGTTGTTTTCTGTTTACATAATTTGAGTATTTATACATCCTGAATATCTGGTTTTTGTTTTTTTTCAGTCTGGAATAGCTAGATATCATGACATATACTGTGAAAACAACGTGCCAAAATGAGTCACTGAGTCTATACATCACCACACATGCCACTGTACATTTCACTCCCTTAGCTCACAGATCTGTTCCTGACAGCGTTAGAGATCGTGGGCTACATGGACCCAATATACCCTTCTGAATTTCTGTTGAAGAAAGCCTGATTACATCCTTCTCCTTGGCTTCAGAACTGCATCTTGCAATGCTCCAGCCCTCCCTCCTCAACAACCAAAGATAAGACTCTCAAGTATATGAAACTTTTTAAAATTACGCTTAATGGAGAAGCAATTTATGGTTCTCACAGAACAAGCAGCAAAAATGAAAAGGGAGGATCTTATACATGCTCCAGGGGTGAAAAAAACCCAAACAAAACCAATTAAAACACCAAATGAAACACCTGACACACAGTTTCTCAGTTAAATGTTTCCCCCACCTCCAAAAGCACCTTCTGCCCTTACAGAGGAAACAGAATTTATGGAACTCAGTAGAATTTTGTGTGAAGTCCTTTTACAGAACTTTATACAACTAACTCTTTATGTTTTCTGTCTGCAGGGCACCGTGTGTGTTTGGGGGAACAGATGGCACGGATTGAACTGTTCATCTTCTTTACCAGCCTCCTTCGGGCATTTACATTCCAGCTCCCTGAGGGAGTAAAGGAAATCAGTTCGGAGTATGTTTTGGGTGCAATACTGCAGCCTCATCCATATAAACTCTGTGCTATTCCACGCTAGTCTGCAACATACCACAATGCAGAGGGACTTCAACCTGTCAATAACTGCAGATCCTTTAAAAATACACACCACTATCTCAATTGCATTCAAATATAGGTAGCTCAGCACAGCAAATTAGTCAAGTGTTTTTGTTCAGGAGGTCTGACCTCAAGTACTCAACTTTTTTAATAAGTGTACTTGCCAAAGCTCATATAATTGTGTCTTAGGCACTTACAAGTACACAATAATACATTTCAGAAAAAAAATGTATTTTCACACTCACAGTAGCAATGAATTAGATGCAGGATTTTAGAGAAGTGAACTGTATCAAGCAGTTTCCTGAGTATGTGCTCTGCCAGGTATCACACTCTTAAAACTTCCAGTAAGCTGTTACTCCTCTGAGTTCACAGGTTTTTTCTTACATCTTCTTGCAGAAGGTAACAGAGGACACACACTTAGTTGTTGACTCCTTTTCCTTTCACACTCCTATAAGCATTATATAGTGTAGCATAAACTTCACACAGGCACAGATGACTCCAGAATGGGGCCTCTCATTACCACAGTCCATTTAGAAATCCTTACACCTGTTTTTACTTCCTCAGTATCCAATTCCTATGTTATCACAACTCGAGTCCCTGTGCTTTCATGAAACATTCCTTCTTCTGTTTATAAATACTATTGTATGATCCAATAATTTCCTATGTGAAAAGGACCAGCCTTTCAAGAAATTAAGAAAATAAATGAAAATGTCAACATTTGTTAAAGCATGTACGGTACTGATTTATTACTCAGGGTGTTTTCTTCTCTTCTTTCTCCACATAAACAGATTTGGAAGGTTTTGAGCATTTAAAATTCAGCTGCAAGCATCCTAAAAGCTTTCAGTTTTCAAAGTTCAACAGGAGCCAGCATAAATTATGGCAGGATATAGTCAAAAGCAGAAGTAGAATATTACATATTTCTCACACCTAAAACTAATGGAAGACTTGATTCTCCTCTCAAATATTTCCAATTTTCAATATTTCTAAACATATTCCCTTCCATTTGGTGAAAACTCCAGGTTTCTAACACATTGTAAAGTTTGCTACCGCAGAACAAATGCAAACTCAACATCACTGACATTTTAATAAAAGCCATTTTACTTTATTTTTATTGAGGAAAATATAACATTTAAAAAATCCTGCTTGAATAAGAAATACTTTCAATCATAAATTAAGAAAAATCTCTTAAACTTGATATTTCTTACAGTGAGGGCAGATCTTGCATAAAACACATCCTTACAGATTTACAAAAGCAGTCTGACAGGATAGTTCAAAAGTTTTCAAGTCCTATCTTCTTCCTTTCTGGTGCTCATTAAAGAAAAACTCACCAAAAAAATCTCTCCTTTCAACACACCATTTGCATGGTTCCATAAAGGGCCCGAGGTAAAGTGCTCAGCAGCAGGACTGGCAGTGTCAGATACAAGCCTGGACTTTCTTTACTCCAGTGTATTTTGATGGTTCTTGAGGTATGTCCTACCTGAAAAAAAGACTCCAGTTTTTTCTCCATGTTTACCCCTTTAGTCACCTGAATTTATTCTGTCAGGCTGGTAACTTTTTTCCACAAAATACTACTTTGTAATCATAGAATGGTTGTAGTTGGAGGGGACCTTAAACATCATCTTGTTCAAACCTTCCACCAGACCAGGTTGTTCAGGGCTCCATCCAACCTGGCATTGCACATATGTTTCTTCCAAAACTGTAGCTTGGGTCAAAGCATGCACATATTCTTCACCTGTATTTCTGAAGAACTGAGGTACGTTATAATTTGCTGTACAATTCTCGTTCTAAAAACAGGGGAAGAACAAATATTCAGAGCGTACATGATTAAAGGAGGTATTTTTACTAAGAAGTCATCTTAGGCCTGACAGCTGGTACCAGTGAAAAACAGCTGGGCTAAGGGCATCTTCCTGTTATTTCATTTAAAACCAAGAACAGCAAGAGGTGAGGCATCCCTTGGCTTTCCGATGTTTCTTGAAATGACAGTGTGAGAATTCCAGGTTACCTTTTCATCACAGTTGTAAAGGAAATCTATAAGAAAACGAGCAATACAGAAAAAAAAGCTATTTCATGAGCCTTTTTTTTGTCAAGAAGGAATTCACAAGGATTTAAAGTGAATCAGAAACAAGAACTACTTAGAAATTAAGGACAAAATGCAAGCTTTTCCTGTGAAACATTGTTTAAAAAAATCTTACTCATAAATCCCATCACTTCACTAATGAGAAAACACAGTCAAACTTCTAGAAAAATACACTGACATCCAGCTCTGCTGTTGTTATATATCCCTTAGAAATCACTACCCCTACCCCTGAGGGATCTAGGCAGTTTGCCTCACTGAGGAGTTAAGCCCCCAAAAGCATGGAATGATTTCTAAAGTCCAGTCTTTAGAAAAGCCCATGCTGTTGAAGATTAGATTCAGACATTAATTTCTGCCACTGATATTAAAACTAAAACTGCAATTTCCAGATTCTTGAGGCTTTCAAGTCCTTAATAATCTAAACTGTTTGTTCCCTTGATTCCATTTTCAAGGAATACAAGAAACATATCTTGCAATAGATTCCTTCTGATATAATGGCCTTGCAATGTTTTATTTCCAAAACAACAGCAAAAAAAGGACTTTCATTACATACTTCAGCTCCTAAATACTAAAATAAAAAGAACCATGTGGAAAGTACACACAGGTCTGTGATCATTTTTGGGAAGCACACAAAATCCATACTGGTTTTGCGGTTTTAAGGACAAAATGTAACAATTGGTCAACATGACCCAGACTAAGAAAATGAGTAAGCCAGTTCTAACTGTGGGTGAAGAGTTTTTCCTACAATTTTTGTTTTGTTTAAACCTCAAAAGGAAAGACCCAAGTATCTAGATGGTCTTATTCCAACTAATAAGCAGATCAAAGGCATGCTTTGATCCACCATTCAAATCAGGTATCTTTAAACAATTGTTAAAATACATTCAAAGTTCTCCTCTCCACATACTGTATTAGTTACTCAGCATTCACAAACAACCCTTCAATATTACATGTCTATCTAATCAAGCAAAACACAAAGCCCAAGTGTGAAATAGCTGGCATGAACTTGATCAGAACAGCTTGCACACCAAGAAGGATTACAATGTTAGGATGCTATATGGGTTGGCTGTAAGGAAAGAAATAAAAAACCTAAACTCTAGAGTGGTGAAAGCTAATATTTGAATTGCCTGTTTGATCTTCTCTTTTTGCTGTGCTTTCTTAAGTCTTTACAACACTATAATGCCATTAAATTTCAAAATCACAATACGTAGGATACCAAATCAGTATCAAAGCCAATCAGATAGAGGAAGGATATGATATATAATTAAAGCAAGCAGATCTGTGGTGACACCAGGAATGAATATATCAAAATATATCCATCAAAATGTGTCACTTACCTCTTGCAATACTTGTCCAAGTGTCTCCTGGCTTTGAATGCGCTTCCTGTTGAAAACCCAAACCACACTTATTTTTGCACAAAGCATTGAGGAATCTTGTAAAAACCAATTATTTATCCCACTTCCAAAAGAGAAGACTGTTATATCAGGCTTTGTTCCACGTCCTTTCCCTTATGGAATCTTGATGCAA